TATGTTTCTATTCCAAACTTAAATATAAATGTAATGTTTAGTTCAGCTGTTTGTGTATGTAACTTTATGTTCCAAATTTGCATGATAAATGTTCATCAGATTAAAAAAGAAATCTTGTCGTATTTAGTTTTCAAATATGTATGGATATAATTTTCTGTTCCAAAATATGGTGATAAGTATTCAATAGAAAAACCATTTTTCTTGTTAATATCATATTAATTACCTCTTAAAATAAATAGTAACTAGTGTTTTACTTTAGAAAAAAGTAAAATGAAAAGTATGATCGCAGAAATGTGAGAATAGTTATTACTGGTTTAAAAGGGTCCATGAAAATGATGTGATGAGCGACTTATGTAAGTTTTGTCTACACAAATGTTCATAGAGGACTGAAACACAAAAAAACTAAGCTAAATTCATTATATAACCACAGGAACTTATAAACCTAACGAAATCTAGGAATGACATGTATGCGTTCTGTATATTTTCTTTTCACAATCACTGATAGTTTGGTGTAGCTTGGTGGATGGGGCGCTCTTCTCGCAATATGCGTATAGTGGGTTCGCATCCCATCACCAAACATGCTCGCTCTCGCAGGGCGTTTAATGTGACGGCCAATCCAACTTTTCGTTGGTAAAGAGAAGCCCAATAGTTGGTGGCGAGTGATGATGACTAGCTTTCTTCCACATAATCTATCATTTCAAATATAGGAAAGTCTGGCGCATGTAGCCTGCGAGTATCTTTGCGAGGAATTCATCAAATAAATAAACACTCTCTGATAAAAAATTTGGCATCCACACAATAAAATCTCTACCGAGAAAAACAACAACATTAAGTAGTTTCAGCTGTACTTGAATAAGTTATGTAGTGATATAATTAAACTGCCACAGTATGACAATTATCAACTCGCTACTAGCTTGCAAAAATCTAAAGAGGTCTATAACAGAATGACTTTACTAACAAACTAACATCAAACTAGAGTACAGCGCTATCAGAGTCTTTGAATCCAGTTAGCAATAAACTGGTGTATAACACCTTCACACTCTCTAGGGTCAAGTTATACCAACCATCAGCAAACTGGTGTATAACACTTTTACAATCTGTAGGTTCCACTTATATCAAGCTAGCAGTAAACTGGTGTATAACATATTTACAATCTGTAGGTTCAAGTTATACCAAGCTAGCAGTAAACTGGTTTGTAACACTGTCACAATCTAAAGGTTCAAGTTATACCAAGCTAGCAGTAAACTGGTGTGTAACACTTTGACAATCTATAGGTTCAAGTTATATCAAGCTAGCAGTAAACTGGTGTATAGCACATTTACAATCTGTAGGTTCAAGTTATACCAAGCTAACAGTAAACTGGTTTGTAACACTGTCACAATCTAAAGGTTCAAGTTATACCAAGCTAGCAGTAAACTGGTGTGTAACACTTTTACAATCTGTAGGTTCAAGTTATACCAAGCTAGCAGTAGATTGGTGTATAACACTGTCACAATCTAAAGGTTCAAGTTATACCAAGCCAGCAGTAAACTGGAGTGTAAAGCTATTACAATAGTTAGGTTCAAGTTACACCAAGCTAGCAGCAAATTGGTGCATAACACTGTAACAATCTGTAGGTTCAAATTATATCAACCATCAGCAAACTCGAGTATAACACCTTTACAATCTGTAGGTTCAAGTTATACCAAACTAGCAGTAAACTGGTGTATAACAGTCATAATCTAAAGGTTCAAGTTATACCAAGCTAGCAGCAAACTGAAGTGTAAAGCTATTACAATATTTAGGTTCAAGTTATACCAACCTAGCAAAAAACTGGAGTGTAAAACTATCACAATCTAAAGGTTCAAGTTATACCAAGCTAAAAGCAAACTGGAGTGTAAATTATCAGAATCTAAAGGTTCAAGTTATACCAACCTAGCAAACAAGTGGAGTGTAAAACTATAACACGCTGTAAGTTCAAGTTAATTTATTGTTGTTGAGATGTAAATGAATTGTATTTTGTTTCAGGCAAACATGAGTATCGTTGTTGTGATTAGTAACTTACAAGATCATCCAAGTATAATCATTCATTAGTAACGTTTTTTATAACTAGATACTAAATAGTTTTTCTGCAGCTCTATTCTGCTGCCGTCTTCAATGAAATATTGAAAACGACCGAGATTCAAGCCGGGATCTTTTTGATGGTGTGTCTCGTACATTATCCACTCGTTATGGCTTAACTAATCGATATTAGCTAAATTTAACCAGTTTTATTTCAATACGTCTTTTAAAATATCCATTCTAAGATTTCTGTCGTCTGAGGAAGCGGGTTGGCCCTGTTGTGGAGCTCTGGATTTCGGAGTCGTGTTCAATCCGTGCACTACCATAAAATATTCCGAGCACTTTAAGCTGAGGGTGCATTATATGAGTGACAGTCAGCTCTTGAAGTGGAGGGTAGGGTGCTGGTGACTACTGCCTTCCCCCTGTTCAGTAGTTCATAATTGTGGTCGGTGACAGATAGATTTAGTAGATTTGACATACATACATAAATTTACATTAATGATATTAGAACAATACGTAGGTGCAAATGGATTTGCCCCTGATGAAGAAAGATGAACCCTTCGAAAGCGCTCCGCTATAAGGTTTTCTATTTTGTTGTACACAAATACAGATACTATTATCTATGCAATTTTCAAATACATTAGCATTATTTATAATACTGAAAAAGCGAAAAAACAACAACAAAACACACACACACACACACACATATATATATATATATATATTGAAAATATAACTTTTTTGTAGTAATGCAACGTCCATGGTCAGCATATTAGTTTGTTTACATTGAACTTCATTCTGTTTTAAAGCGGCTAAAGTTTGATTCGTTCATTTTATATTTATAATTCTCAAGAATAAAGTCATTGTTTTGATACAATGTTTTTATGCTACTTATAAACCAAATCTCCCTCTACAGATAGAATGTTTTTATATAATTACATGAGAAAGAGATACAGTAAAATGGCTTACTCTCATTCTAACTGGGTTGGATTAGAAAAATGACCTGGAAGACCAAGAAAATACGCAACAGCTTACATCGTATTCTAAAAATCCCATTTGGTTTTTATTGGATTTTCATTATCCATAGTCAACACTTTTGATCTGTTGTCGAAGGAAATAACAATACCGAATCCTTGACATATTAAAATGTAAATAGATGACAATTTCCTCACAATATGACCTCACCATTCAGTAGTTGCATAACGTATTACTGAATAATATGGACAATGCACATGGATGGAAATGTAAAGAACAATGATGCTTGTGGACGTAAATGGTATTTTAAACCCTCATGAAGTCAGGAAGATGCAGGGTTGACTTTAATAAAATATACCATCATAAGCAAAAGCTTTCATTTGCTTTGGTTTACTGAAATAATGTAACAACCAAATCTTTCTTTTTTATCAAACCAGTTGAAAAACAACAACAGTAAAAAACCCAGCAATATTTGTATACGATCCCTTAACTTGAAAATACACACATATATATATAGATTTCCGGAAATACGCAAAGTTAAATATTTGATATAAATCAGAAAAGAAAAGATTCGATCATGCACAGAAGCTTGTAAACCTAATGGTACCTATAGTTTTCTAAAGTGTTTATTTACCACTATTAGTTCATTAACTTCCTACCTCCTTACTGTCAATTCCAAAAAGGCCACTCACCTCTATCATCCCTAGTATTAGCATATCCAGATCTTAGATATCACGTGCTCCTAGATAGGATGTTGAAATAAAGTGTAATGAACTTTTTCCGTCTTTATTTTGAATAAATGAAAAAAATTAAGCTATGATCCCTGCTATGTGTATCACCCTGAGTGTAATGAAAAAAGTTATTGTAAACGTCATTGTAAGCGTTAAACTCTTCTGACATTTTTGGCTTCAAGAAAATATAGTCGAATTTCTTAGATATTTTCGCAATTTTGATTTTTAAACATACCTAGCGTTTTGTTTTTATTTAAATAAAAGTTCATTTTTTCTTCTTTTCCTTTTATTTTTGTAGATAAGTGCTGTACACTAAGAAGATTCAGTCGAGATGAGTTTAGCTGCTGCATGCTAAAGGTAATATTTCGAAGAAAAATACTTTATTTTAAAACAATCATAATATTAATAAGCTAATTAAACCATGAAACAAGAAACTTGAACGGATCGGAAAGTTGACATTCCTGAAAACATCACCTTCCGAAAACGTTCAGGGTATTGAGTTTCTTGGGATATGATGATTCTTAAACGAAACGATGAAGATCTGGTATGTTTAAGGTAATGTTCTAGACACAAATAGGCTACTGATATTTTTTGTTTTAAGATATGCTTATTTTATTTTTCAGAATGACGATGACAATTTTGATTTTTCTCATCATAACATTTTTTTCGGTAAGTAACGAGATTCTACATACTGAAGTTAAAAATTAGATTGGTTCTCACGCTTAACTATTGTTTGTTGCAAAACGTTGTTGATTTATCGATCTGATTTTTAAATGAAAAATAAAACGTTTTGAAATTGTTAAGAAGCTGTTTCGTATTCTTTCATTGTATTGGTCTGTACCTTATAACTGATATATCTAATATAATTTTTAATTGTTCTCTAATTAGGTAATCGTAGGGTGAAATATACTTGCCCCCAGTGACTCAGTAGCAAGTCTAAAGATTTATAACGATACCCGTGGTGGGCACAGAGCCCATTACGCAATTTGGCACAAAGAAACTTGATTTTGCTGTCATCTAGCGGCTATTTATTGTACTAAAATTTCGCGTTAGTTTTCTACCAAGCATGTGATCTGTCGAAAACGAACCAGATTACTTATATATTGGGTATTTTGTTTTCAGTATATCACTAATACAATCAAGTTCTCACAAAAATAAATGTATTTATTTTGGCATTCAAGAGATCACAAGTTTAAAACTCTTATATTTTCCTAATGTCCAGGAAACTTCTGTTTTGGAGCTTTCAAGCACATCATGTATACCGAAACTGTAAACATTTGAAGTTAAACATTACGTTAAAAGTTTTTAACTAGTGTGATTCTGGAAGTTTTGGGACCTATCACATTGATGTATAATGTTTGATCATCTTATTATTGATTTGATTTTGAGACTTTCCGAAAAAGCTTTGAAATCGTAAGGTGTATTTTACACAAAGTGTTAAAGCTTTGAAATTGTAAGGTGTATTTTACACAAAGTGCTAAATTTTTGAAATCGTAAAGTGTATTTTACACAAAGTGTTAAAGTTTTGAAATCGTAAAGTGTATCTTACACAAAATGTTAAAGATTAGATTATCTGAGAACCTAATGTTGTTATTTTTTTCAGTTAGCGTATTAATGAATTGAGTTAGTAAATATTTTTTAACTTCCTTGATCGAATACAGATTTCCACGGTTCTTTCTCGGGAACCTAGCCGAAATGACAGCAATGTGGAGAATGTTATAGGTTCGGTAGTGGGAGATGAACTCAGTAGTGAAATTGCTACTGATAACACAAGAGGTAACTAAATATTTAGTGTATGCTATATTTATTATAAAGTAATTCTAATCTTCCGATAATCTTCAGAACTAAATAAGCCAAAAAGAAATGGTAAAAATAAGTTTGATAGTTTATCGTTTTAGATTTTTGCAGTGAATCAAAGTCATGTTTTGCATTTTGCTGTACTTAATAATTTTATAAATTTAAAACATTACACAAAAAAAGGAGTATCTTAGTCTGTGGATATCAGTCCAAAAATGAATTCGTCACTTCGTATATCATATAGAGAGACACCTTATAAAATGCATTATCTACTTGCAAGCGACGAGTGTAGGTGACGTCTTTCAAAGGTACTCCATGGCTAACTGTGCAAGCTGCTCTTAATTTTGAACTGATAGAGAATGGGGAAAAGTATCTAGAAAAACACCATCTACAAAATTCTCACAAACATATTGGATCTCTTCGCACCAACTTTTATAGATTCTCTGACCCCACTAAATAATGGATTGTTTCGCTGTTATGTTTGTGGAATCTCTGACCTTGCGCTATTAATCTGTTTACATAAACAGTAGTGAATTATCATTGTCCCTTATGTCTTTTTTAATGAACAGAAGGAAGCAAAGTCACTAAATAAAATTAAGGCTTTTTAATAAAATTCGTTGAAAAAATTCGCGTTTGGTAATTATCGTATAAAATATTTTTAAAACCTAGACAGAGGTGAAAGAGTTTGGATTTAGTTTGATTTCTAGAACCGTGTATTCATAATCAATATTTGTCGTTTTTGTTTGTTTGTTTGTAGCTTACTTATCGTGCGAGTCTGGAGAGATGGTTGTAAAGATAAACTTTACAGAACCTTATCTAGGTGTAATTTACACCAATTATGATCGTTCGAGTCCTTGCAAACTTTATGGCGATGGTCGACAATACTATGAGCTCCGGATTCCATTAAAAGGTTGCGGGACTAAACAGGTAGACAACGATCTTTGTATTTCTCTGTTGTTTTTACTCGGATGAACTGCTTATCGATTTGAGGGGCGGTGTGGTTCATGTAACGTAATCACTGAATAATAATAAAAAAAATCTTAACAAAAAGTAAAATTAAACCAATTTTTTCGTACACATTGTTACGTAATTAACATAAGTTAAAATGGTAAATTTTAATCACTAGACAGTTTGTTACTAGCTAGGTAAATAACGAGGTTGTCATACGAATTTCGACGTGCAATAAAATATAAGAGGGGAAAACAGAATATTTTTTATTCATTAGATAAACATAAACTATTGAAGTAAGGAACTTTATGGCATTTGAAAGATCAATTTAATCTTTTCTTTCTTAAGCACAAGAGAATTTTCCTGCAGTAAGCATAAGAGTAGAATTTTTCTTAAAACTTAACTTATTATAAAACTAATGTTTAGTCTTTCTTTCTTCTATTAGCACATTCTCTTTAGGATAAGAAAATTCTTCTAGTGTTAAGAAATGCCGTATTTTTCGATGTATAAGACGTACTTTTTTACCCGAAAATTTGATGTCAAAATCTGTTTGCATCCTATACACTGAAGGTATGAATAATATATATATATATAT